GAGAAAAGGCTTTTGCAGCCCAGGCAGGTGGCTGACAGCTGCCTTTCTCCCTCCCCATTCCTCCCTCTTCAGCTCTCTCCACTCACCCCTGCCGGCAGCTCCAACCAGCACTCCTGGGTCTACCTCTGCAGCCTTTTCTACCTGAACTGAGACCCTTGATCCCAACTGTCAACTGGATGGGTCCACCTGAGGTCCCACTAGGACCAGCAAAGCAGCACGTTTCAAATCCTCATTCCCAGACATCTCCAAGTGCTTTTCCCAATTTTCATCACCATTCTTCTTGTCACCTGGGCTGAAATCGTTTGCCTGGAAGCAGTCAGAGCTCCTCACTTCCGCAGAAAGAAGCCTAGCCTCTCTACCTGGCCCTCACAGCCCAATGCCTCCCCACCTCCTCGCCCATCACACCTCCCATGCCAGCTGTGTGCTGCCGTCTCTGGAGCCCACTGTCCTCTTCACTGACTACCGGGACTGCCTGTCTCCTCCACCTTCACAAACCCAATTTCTCCCCATTCCCCAGGCCCTTATCAAATGCCACCTCCTCCAAGATGCCTCCTTGATTCCTTAGCTGGAAATAACGATAACGATGATAACAGCTAACATGCATTGGCGATGGCCACGTGCCAGGCACAGAGCTAGCACTTCACATGCATTATCTCATTTCATCTACTTAACAGCTGTGGGTGGAAATTATGATTTGTATCATCCCTGTTTTACAGCTAAGAAAACTGAGTCTCAGAGAGGTTAGCAAACTTTCCAAAGTCCTATACTCCAACTCAAACATAGCTCTGCTAAACTCTAGAGCTCATGATTTTATGCACGACTCTCGCCCCTGAGTTACCCAAGACATTTTATCTGTTTTTTTTTAAACTGAATTGTTTGCCCTTTTTTATTATTGAATTGTAGCAGTTTTTTTTTTTTAACTTTATTTATTTATTTTTCCCCCCAAAGCCCCGGTAGATAGTTGTATGTCATAGTTCCACATCCTTCTAGTTGCTGTATGTGGGACTCGGCCTCAGCATGGTCGGAGAAGCGGTGCGTCGGTGCGCGCCCGGGATCCGAACCCGGGCCATCAGCAGCGGAGCGCACGCACTTAAGGGCTAAGCCACGGGGCCGGCCCCTATTTTATCTGTTTAAATGCTCTTCCTTGCATTGTAGTTAACTAGGTAAGTTCTTAAATCAGTTGTTTAAGAGCACGGTTTTGTTCTTTACTCTTATTTTCAACAAATAATATATATAAGTAGCTGACAACGTCAAATACTGTGGTATTCTATCTGGGCTTCCCGGGAAAGCCACCAGTCTTCAGCCCAGCCCTCCTCACTCCTGATTTCCAGTTTCCTGTGGTTCCATGTCTCTTTCATCTCTGTACTTGGCCCACAGTGGGCGATCAATACATGTTAGCTGTTAGCCATCAAATACGTAGTAACTGTCATGTGCCAGGTGCTGCTCAATGAAGTTGTAGTTGCTGTCTTGAATTATCCCTCCTCCCTGGTCCCTAAACCCTGGCTCTTACCAGTCATCCTGCCCACCTTCTCCAGCCATGCCCAGGCCACGTCAGGTACTGACACTCAGGTGAACCAAGGAAGACTTGATGATCACTCTTTTCTGATGCCCGTGTCCGGCTGTATAAATTGGTTCGCATTAAGTTTGCCTGCATTTAGCAGAGACCCAAAATAACAGTGGCTTAGTCAAGACGGAGGTTATGTCTCTCACACACACAGCACAAGTCCAGAGATAGGCAGTCCAGACCAGTATGGCATCTCGGCTCCACGAAGTCCTCTGGGACCTGGGCTCCTCCAGCTCCTTACTCTTCCATTCATAAGGTGAGGCCCACATCCTCATGATCCAAGATGGCGCCAGAATGCTGGCTACCGCAGGCATCAGGATGGAGGAAGGGATGAAAAAGGAAGAGGCAAAGTCATCCAACATGAGAGCTGCCGCATGGCACTTCTGCTTTTATTTAATTGGCCAGAATTGAGTCGCATGGCCATACCTAGTTGGGAGAAACTGGGAAATATAGTATTTATTCTGGATGGCCACATCCCTATCTGAACTTGGATGTTCTATTACTTGGGAAGAATACATATTGGGGACAACTAGCAGGCAGCCTCTACTGAAAGGGTTAGGTGTGTTGGGGTGTGTGTGTGTGTGCATGTATGATGTATGTGTTGTGTGAGCATGTGTGTTATGTGTTGTGTGTGTTGGTGGGCCAGGTTGTCTCCATCACTTTTGTCTCAGATGGACCTGTTACACGTTCTCTTGGCAGTCTCCCATGGGGCTCCCCTAAACCTGGCCTCTCCTCTTAGGCAGACAGCAGCAGCTTCTCAATCCCATGTTTCAAGGAACTGCAATTCATTTTTAGCATCCACTGAAGCATATTATCAGTGGTGATAGAGGGAGCTTGTAAAACTGTTTTTCCATTTAGGTATTACAGGGTGGCCATTATGTGAGAGTGACTATGACCAGAGTTAATCTGGTAATAAATTCTCTTAGGAAGGAGGGTGTCATTAACTCATGAATCCTAGAAAAGGATATTGCTCAAGCTTTTGCTGCAGGAGGAAGGCCCAGAAATACCAGGCACTCTGTTGAGATGGTCCAGGAGAGGCAAAAGGCCAAATGCTTGATTCAGGGTTGGCTACAGGTAGTGTTGCCTGAGTGTTTCAAGGCCTGCCCAGTAATTACACAACTAAAAAATATCTGACATTACCTCCACACTTTGGCCCACACACTCAATGGGCAGGGGCTCTACTGGTTCATCTCGTTTACTTTTTAGAGCCGGGTGGTGTTATGAGTTCCATTTTACTGATGGGAACAGATGCTTTAGGGAAGTTAAGTGTCTTGCCCAGAGACACAGCTAATGAGGGCAGAGCCCGCTGCTGAAGCCTTGGGGCCTAACCATTATGCTTTCCACCTTTGCTAGGGTTTCATGGAATCCTACTAGGGAGTTAGCACTATTTAACTGCATTCCACAAACACATGGTGGAAATGTTCACTCAGGTAATGAGTAGTTAATAGAGGGAGTTTTAACTTTTAAGAGAACAAACAAGCACAAAAACATCTGAAGTGCCCCCTCCCAAACTCCTTAGTATTTTTCATATTTGAAGTTGATATGGGGGTGCCATCTCATAGCTTCATCCTAGAGCAGGTATTAGTTCCCAAGTGCCATGGTCCCAAGACGTACCCTCAGTCGGGCATTGGAGTGGTTTGTAACTCGGGCTTTGCCTTAAAGGCCAGAGAAACTGGGGGGAGGGGGGCAAGTAGGAAGCAACCCAGCCCTTCTGAATCCCAGGATTCACACCTGGGATGTCTGGGTGTGAATCCGGCTCTACCACTCACCCGTTTGACTTTGGGCAATTAACACATCTTCTTGAGTCTCATTTTTCCCTTTCTATAAAATTCAGATAAAAATCATACCTTTGATCAAGCATTATAAATAATATATAAGCAGACTGCTTATTTCTATTATATTGCCATTATATGGATTATACTACTATTGCCACCTATGGACAGAAAATGTATTACCTATTTTTATCAAGACCTAGATGAGGTAAAACACAAAAAGCCGAGATTAGCTTTTTGCCATCTCCAGAACCTTCATGCCAATATTTACTTACATTTGATTATTGCTTCAGGCCCATCCACACATACTTAGCGTGGATCATTGGCCACAGACTCGTGTACGTTTAACTTTATTACTTTTTGCCTCATGAATCACATTAAAAATTTGCTGCTTAATCAAGGATCTGCGTATTATTAATGTTAGAATTCATGGTTCCATGACTTTGGAAGTTTCAGATATTCTGAGTGACATGTTATACATTCTCTCCTGCCTCCATGCCTTTGCACCAGCTGCTTTCTTGGCCATCATGGCAACCACTTTCTACTCTTACTAACTCCTACTCGGTATTTAATTTTTTTTTGTTTTTGTTTTTTTTTAATTTTATTTATTTATTTTTTCCCCCAAAGCCCCAGTAGATAGTTGTATGTCATAGCTGCACATCCTTCTAGTTGCTGTATGTGGGACGCGGCCTCAGCATGGCCGGACAAGCGGTGCATCGGTGCGCGCCCGGGATCGAACCTGGGCCGCCAGCAGCGGAGCGCGCGCACTTAACCGCTAAGCCACGGGGCCGGCCCTACTCGGTATTTAATACCCTGCTCAGGCGACACCTCTTCCAGGGAGCCCCCTTTGTACACCCGTGATATCCTGTACTTGTCTTTCTTGCAAAGCTCTTTCTTCCTGTATTGGAATGGCCTGTTTACCTGTTTCTCTCTCCTATTAAATTGTAAGCAACTTAAGAACATCTGTTGTTCACTATTATGTCCTTGGTGCCTAGCACTGCATCTGACATATTATCAGATCTCCCATAAGTACTGGTTGGCTTCACACTCCCGGTGAGAGAGAAAAGAAGTAATAAAGGCAATGATAAATGCCATCATGGAGATATCAGCAGGCTGCTGTGGGAGAGTAATGGAGAGGACAAGTAACATAATCTCTAACAAGAGGGTGGTGATAAAGTATGTCTCACAACACCTCTCAAGCTCTTTCACGTGCATTATCTAATTTGATCCTCGTAGAAGCCTGGAGATAGGTATGTTGCAGGGGTGGAAGGTAGAGTTTTTAGCAGCTATGTGATATGCCTAAAGTCATGCAGCTAGTAAAGGGCTGGGTTCAAACCAGACCTTAAAAGCCCATTCTCCTCCTTAAAGCACACAGTGTGTCACTTCATCATCACAATGTCCCTTTGCTCACACCCTGGCTTATTGCTTTGTGGTCTACAGCACACCTCATCGTGGTTTTATTGATCAAGCCTTGCGTCTCCCCAAGAGAATGCATTTCATTAATGTATTTCTAGATAATGAATTGTCTTTGACTCTGAGGAGATGATAGCCAGGGCAGAAAGAAATCTCATCTTTATCCACATCTGGTAATGTGGTTGGTCATGGCATAGGGGTGTTTTCTGAGATATCAGCAATTTGCAATGTATGGTTCCTTCTGTTTTCAGGACCAAGAAGCACATTCTGGAAGGAAAATGCATTGTGGACCGCTGTACCAATTCCTGTGGCTTTGGCCCTATCTGTTCTACATTGAAGCTGTGCCCATCCAAAAAGTCCAGGATGACACCAAAACCCTCATCAAGACGATTGTCACCAGGATCAATGACATTTCACACATGGTAGGGAGGGTCTGGGGAGATGAAGTAGAACTGTGGCTGGCCCACGGGGACACCAGGACCTCAGAGGTTAGCTGAGGCCTGTGCAGCAACATGTAGGGGCCATGGTGGCCTTGACTTCTCCCTACTGCATGAGCAGCTGCCTCTTTTCTTCCTCTCCCCTCTGTCTCCCGCCACCTCCTTACTCTCCTTCCTCCCCGACCTGAATCCCAGGATTCACTTCCTTGAATCCTAGTGCCTAGGACCAGAGGATACATAAAAGTCCTTGTGTTCCATTGGTAGGTGACCAGACCCCCAGCAGCATCCTCTCTGGGCCTCTATCCCATCTCTAGAACGTGCTTATCAGTAGGCAGTCTTCCCGGTTGAGCTGAACTCTGGCCCTGTGCCGCTTCCCCGATTACTGCTAGTCCTGCCTGTCAGGCCACACAGAAAAGCAAGTCTACCCTCTTTCACATACAACCTTCTGTGTATCTGCAAACAGCTGTCAATGCCCCCTGGGTCTTTGCTCTGGGGCTGACAGATCTAGACCTTCAGCCATTTCCCAGGTGAGTTCTGTATTTGGAATTAGGCAGACTAAGTGTGAATCTTCACACTTCTGTTCTCTGTCTGTAAAACCTTAAGCTGGATCCTCAATGTCTTTAAGCCCTGGTTTCATCATCAAGATATTGAGACTATCGTAAGGTCTTCACAAGGTTGCTATGAGATTAAATTAGATAAAGCAAGTGAAAACACCTCCCACCACCCCCGCCCCACCCTGCAGAATCAGAAGAGAGTGTGCCCTCATTAAAGGTTTGCAGTTGTGTTTTTTGGTAGCCCCCAGCCTTAAAAGCTTGCTTGTTCACCCTGCATGGAGCAATCTGGAGACTTCCACATCTCCTGGCTACTGTGGATGACTGACAGTGGCCTTGTGCAGCCAGGAAGAAGTTAGGTGGCCAGAAGCAGGGACAGCTCAGAGCTAGATAGTCTTGGGAATTTCATACAGAGAAACCCTTAAGTCTCCTTGCTTTAAAAATAGTCAACCGAAAGGCTGCACGTGATAGATCCAGAGCATCCCAACCTGTGTGGTGCAGGGAGTGAGTGCTGCGGGCAGGGGGGAAGGGGAGTTACCCTCCTGGTAACCAGAGTTACTGGAGCAGAGGAGTGAGGTGGGGCACTTGCTGGGGGGACAGCCTTGACCCGTAAGGGGGTGAGACTCCATGGAGATCCTGATTGGGAGGGAGGAGTCCGCAGGGGGTGGAAGGGAACGAGGATGGCTGCGGAGGGGGCGCTATAGAGGACTTCAGATGCCTGAGGAAGAGACTAAACTAAGTAAGAAATAGGGAGCTCTGGCTGGTTCTATAGCAGAGGCCATTTGGAGAAGGAAACGACCTGAGAAGTTTGGTCTGGAAGTGGGAGGCAGGGTGGTTTGGGAAAGACGGGAAGACAGAAGGCCAGGAGGCCAGCTTGGAGGCTTGGCAGCCACCTGGGCATAAGAAGTAAGGCCTAGTCCAGGATGGTGCCAAAGAGGGAAAGGAGGCAACCAAGAAAGTGAGCCTCCGTGCTCGTGGGAAAGACTGAGGGCTTTGCAGAATTCACTCTCTCCCGCCTCACTAAGCTCTTGCTCTCCCTCTTCCTCCTGCACAGCAGTCAGTCTCCTCCAAACAGAGGGTCACTGGTTTGGACTTCATTCCTGGGCTTCACCCTGTCCTAAGTTTGTCCAAGATGGACCAGACATTGGCGATCTACCAACAGATCCTTACGAGTCTGCCTTCCAGAAATGTGATCCAAATATCTAATGACCTGGAGAACCTCCGGGACCTTCTCCACCTGCTGGCCTCCTCCAAGAGCTGCCCCTTGCCTCAGGCTAGGGGCCTGGAGACATTGGTGAGCCTGGGCGGTGTCCTGGAAGCCTCCCTCTACTCCACAGAGGTGGTGGCCCTGAGCAGGCTGCAGGGGTCTCTGCAGGACATGCTGCAGCAGCTGGACCTCACCCCTGGGTGCTGATGTCCTGAAGGCCTCTCTTCCCCCAAGGACCAAAGTCAAAGGAAGAAACCTGGGCTCCCAGGTGTCTCCAAGAGAAGAGAGCCCGTGTGGACATCCTTCATCCGGGACTCTAGTCTGTTTCTCTGTCACTCCTCTAAGCCGCCCTTCCAAAGGCATAAGACTTCAAGGCAAGTTGCTTGAAACCAAAGATATAAATACCTGATTCCATGCTCACCCATCCAGCAAACAGTGGACTGGATCTGGGATTCTCACAAGTCTTCCTCTCTGTTCTACCTCCCCTCTCACTGCATGCTTCAGGGTGACCTGGGATGATCTCAGGAGGTGGGCTGCAGAGCCTTTGGACGATCAAGCAAGGTTCCGTCTGAGAACTCTGGGGAGCACCATGAAGGCTACATCCACGCTTAGCTGGAAACTCTCAAGCAACACAAGTTGGAAACATTTATTTATTATGCATTTTATTCTGGATGGATTTGAAGCCAAACGTTGCCTTTTCCAGGCTCTTTGGTGTTGGCCAGGGCTAGGGATGCTCCTGGGGTGCTGTTACCAGTCCCATCAATAGGCCTGGCCAAGGCAAATCCACTTCAAGTGACTTGAGGGCTCTCCAGTAAGTTCTCTCATAACTGGCTTTGTTTCTACTGTGACTTTAAACTACAGTGTTTGCAATGGCATTGCCCTGAGTGGATCTCCAAGGGCCAGGTTATTTTAAAAAGAAGAAGATGAATTTTGTCAAGTGTAATATATAGCTGTGTGCACCTGGAGGTAGGAAATGTGTTGATGGAGGAGGAAGGATCCAGAATGTATTTTCTGAGTAACATTTGTGTGATGGGCTCTTTGGATGGGGTGGAGTCATTTTCTCATCTTCTGCAACCACTTAGTGTGGTTTTCATGAAAATAAGTAGATGGAGTTGACTCCTTCACGGGGGTTGTGGGGTTTTGCCAGCTGCCCATGGAGGAGTGGGGCTGAGGCCACTGTTTGTTGGGGCAGTGGTGAGCTCTGGCCCTCTCTGACTGCTAGAGAGTGGTCTTTCTTATCAGAGAGTGAGGGTCCTGCAGTGGAGTCAGTGATTGACAGATCAGGGGTCCTTGATGTGGCCCTCTGAATGGTCCAGGCTTGATCCCACGCTGGGTTTATAACATGGCAGTGTCCCTTTTGGGCTTTGCATGCGCAATTGTGGTTCTCATCTGACTGGCTCACCCAAAGCATGGCTATGTTCCCCGCTCATTCAGGGAAGATTTTTATTCCAGTGGAAAGGCGAAATCCACAGGAGGTCTGTGGGATTTAGCGGATAGTCCCAAGACCTGGCAGCACTGCTGAGTGCCAGGACCCCAGACCAGATGGCCAGACTCACCCTTCCCACTGGAGGTCATGTTCAGTAGGACTAACAAGGAAGGTTGGATTTTCCACCATCCTGCCCCCATGATGCAGCCATCACACTGTGAGTGGTGGATCTGTCCAAGGAAATTTGAATCAGAGCAATCAACTTTAAAACTGAGTGCCTACTTTGTGCTCAGCCTCAATTGGTGCTATGGGCTAGAGCAGCTCACCAAATAAACATTAAAATCCAGTCCTGCCCTCAGGGACGTTGCATTCCAGATGGTAAAAACCCCACTCACCAGCATGCAAAGCCTGCCGTTTCACTGTTTCATCATGGGAACTGAGCCGCTGAAATACAGTGCAATCTTCCGCAGGTGGGAAATGCTGAGCTGCGGGTGGTAGTGCCCAGGGGCCCACAGGCTAACCCTGCTTGCACTTGGTAGCATTTTTACTTTTCAGGGCATGTCAGCCTCTACCATTTAGCCACATGCCTTTGAAGCAGAATAGCTGAGAATTTAAAAATAAGAAAATACCTAAGACCATAACAGCAGACAGGTGGCAGGACAGGGACTAGAACCCAGGTCCTCTGACCCCCACAGTGTTCCCTGAGCCAGGTAATGCTCTCTGGAGGTGCAAATAGGGTTGGGCAGGGGAGACCAGGAATGCTTTCAGGAAGAGAGGAATTTCAAGGCCTATTTTGCAGGAGGTGAGGGAAGTGAATTGCCTGGAGGGAGGAGGCTGTTTTGTTTGAAGCCTTGGTGTACTGAGACGCCAAGGTGAAGGTGTGAGGAGCCGGTCACAAAGAAAGGCACAGAAAGGAACGATGGGAGGGAAAGGGAAGTGTTGAAGAGGACTTGAGGAGCAAAGAAGTTTGATATTGAACGGGTTAAGAGTCGAAAGTTCTAGAGCAGAGACTCTTGTGGTGGACAGAGTCAGACCTGCTCTGGAAAATATGACCTAGATAACCATGGCCACCCAGTCTGGCTGGCATGTTTTAAGCCTTTTGCTCACAAAACCTGGCACTATGGCTCATTCCCAGAGTGTGAAATCTACAAAATTTAAATGATTGTCTTTTGTGGCAACTTAAAAAAAATTTTTGTTGTTGTTAAAAAGAATCCAAATAAATCACCTTTACCCCCTTTGTTTTCTGTCGCCTTTTGTGGAGGGGCTTCAAAAGAGCTGTTTGTATGTGACAGGGCAAGGCCTGGCTGGCCTCCCTCCATTGCTGGGGTCAGCTCTGCCCGGGCTTGGCCACAGCTGGCCGCCAGTTATCCAGGCTAAAGGATTCCCCCAAAGCACAGAGCTGGCAACATGAGGACATTTTGCACCAGAGTCACTGTGGATCTGCAAATCAACCTTGAGAAGCACCAAATTATTTAAAGAACAAAAACAACAACAAATAACCCCAAGCAAGCAAATAAACAAACAAAAGCATGCAGCCCAATAACAGACCCCACCAGGTGCATAGACTCTAAAAGACAGGACTTTTCTTGTTGCAGGCGCAGAGCACAGACAATCATCTCTGCAGGACAGTCAGGACCTGGTGGTTTCAACCCAAGTCCGGGGGAGGACTCAGGGGACTGGCCCATCAAAGGCAATCTCTTCCATGGGTGATTTCAAGGATATCTGTCCCCTCAAAAATTTGCTGATTGCTCTGGGGATTAGATGAGATAATGACCCAATACAGTGTCTGGCTACAGAAGATGTAAGAGAACCTCTTTCCCTTCACATCACAATTAGCAACAGGCTTGAAATGTCAGTGATCCCAGACCAGGGAGCACATGGGTGCAAACGCACCCTCAGTATGGAAGACAGAGGCCGATGCTTTCCCACATACTAGCTTAGGTGGGGGAGTGAGGGGGGACCGAGCTCCTGAATGAGAGGAAACTGAAGAAGGAGGGCAATCAGATGTGGCTGCAGCAGCCTAAGTGGTAGGTTCGGGGAAGTGGCTGGCCTCTGTACCAGTCAAGACTCCTTTAGCTGCAAGTGACAGAAACCCAAGGCAACTCAACTTTTAGTAAATAAAAAAGAGAAATTTTTGGCCCATGTTGCTGAGAAGTCCAGGCCATGATCCATCTCTTACAACACGTTCCTCTGCACTCGTCCCCAGGGACTTAGAGTCTGGCGGTGCCATGATCCACCCCAGTCCTGCTTGCCCAGGGTGGGTAACGGGGACTTGGGGACAATATGTTTGCCCCTTGGTAGCCATCTGGGACTGTCTGAGTGGTCTTGTTTCTCAGCAGTCTACAAGCCTGCGAAGCGCCCCCTCCAACAGTGGCTCCGGAAGCCAGCCCACAGTAAGAGGGGTCTCAGAGCAGAGGCTTGGAGATGTCATTCCCTCCTCTGTGAGGTGACTCCCAGGGTCAGCGTGAAGGGCGTGTTCTTCAAGTTGTCCTTCCAGATCCTTTTCCACCTTCAGGCGTTCTCTTGTGCTCCCCTGAGGCAGCAGCTCACATGTGCCACATGGCTGGCGGAGTCTGGGGGCAGCGTCTGGCCATGTTCACCCTCCAAAGGCAGGACTTTTGCAGAGTCTCGTGAGAAAAATATCAGGTCAACCCAGCAGGACCTTTCAGAAGACCCCACCCCAGAAGCTTGCTGCACAGCAACACACAACCAAAAAAAGACGACACCTCATTTTTCCAAAACGAATTTACAGCAATTTATTCCAGGCTTTTGACACCAGAATCTAAGTCTAGTGATGCCTGACCACACAAATCCGCCTGCTTAAGTTCACTGGTACATTGTCATCCTCAGCCCCAAGGGGTCCTCACCCTGGGAACTCATAATCTCAAAACCCAGGATGGTAGAATCAAGGATGTAAAGAAGGTAATGGAGCCCCCATGCCCAGCCCTCATCTCAACCCCAGCTCCCAGCCTAGAGGATGCTTAACACCTAGACAAGTTACTTAACCTCTCTTAGCCTCAGTTTGTCATCTGTACAATGGGAGTATAATAGCATTGTCCTCATGGGGTCTTTAGAAGATTAGATGAGTAAATGTTTGGGAAGCTACTAGCCCAATGACTGATATATAAAAAGCACTCAATAAATCATGCTGCTGTTATTAGAAATAATGAGTCAGGGAAGTAAAAGGAATGAGAATTGCTGTAGCAGATGATTTTGAGGCCCTTGGCCCACCTCTGAGATCAGCTGCAGCTGTGATGTGCAGTTCCCTTGCACAGCATTCCCCCCATCTCTCCACTTTGATGCCTTAGGGAGCCCTCACAGCCCACACAGGGCAGCCCAAAAGTGAGGAGGAGAGTGAAGGCCCCAGAGGAGCAAGTCTCAACCAGTAGGGAGTGGGAGTCTGTGGATAAATGCCCCAGCCTCCCACCCCCCACAGGGGCAATTCTGTGCCCTACACGGATTGAGCCGTGGTTGCCCTCACCAGTCACCACATCAATAAGACACTCTCGACTGGCTTTTCCTCCTTCCCCATCTCACTGTCCCTGCTCCTCACTCCTGCCTTCTAGGGTCACCTCCCAAAGACACCTCCTGCACCAGAACCCTGTCTCAGGCGCTGCTCTTGGAGGAACTCAAGTAAGACAACTGCAAAGCAAATGGAGATGGCTTTGGATGCTGGGACAACTGTGAAGCAAGGTTCTGGAGAGGTGCAGGAACCACACAGCAGAACTCAGAGAACCCCTGGGCCCTCCTAAGGAACGAGGCCTAAGAGAGGAAGGAAGAGAGGGGTCCTCAGGAAGAAGGGAATCCTTTGTGGAAAGCTTGACATGGGAAAGAGAGCAAGGACAGGAGGAAGAATCTACTAAGATGGAAGAATTATAAGATTAGTAAGGAAAATAAAGAGAGAGAGAGAAAGGGAGGGAGGGAGGGAGGGAGGAAGAAAGAAAAGGAGACAGGGGAATGAAAAGAGAAGAAATATAGAGAGAGTTAAACATCACCTGTCTTAGCCCGTTTGGGCTGCTATAACAGAAAGCCATTGACCGGGTGGCTTATAAACAACAGAAATTTACTTCTCACAGTTCTGGAGGCTGGAAATCCAAGATCAAGGTGCCAGCTGATTCTGTGTCTGATGAGGACCCACCTCCTGGTTCAGAGACCACATCTTTCGCTGTGTTCTCACATAGTGGAAGGGGCGAGGGAGCTCTCTGGGTCTCTTTTACAAGGGCACTAATCCCACTCATGAGGGCTCCATCCTCATGACGTAATCACCTCCCAAAGGCCCACCTCCAAATACCATCACATTGGATGTTAGGATTGAACACATGAATTTGGGGAACATGAACAATGGATCCATGGCATCAACTTATGATAACTGATTGGAAGAAAGATCAGGCCAAATCAAAGGAGACACAATTATTGAATGTTTTCTGTATAAAATGTCTTTTTACAATAATAAGACCTAACATTGGAATTTTTTTCCTTCCCTGAGCGCCCACAGCCCCCGTTCAATCCTGTACACTAGCGCACAGGGGATCATTTCCATCGGGGTTCCACCACCACACCCCTGCCACCCTGGGCTGTGAGCCTCTGCGGCAGGGACACCTCACCCAGTGCCCTGCTGTAGTGTCTGCCACAATGCAGGCCCTCTGTTCCTATTTGGGGACCAAAGGAATTAAGACTCTTGTATAACAAGCCCATTATTTACATGTAAGCAAATTCTGCAAAAAGCCTGAAAACAGTCCTAACCATTGAAGGTTAACCTTCTTATTAGGATTCTGTTCACCCTTAACTTGCTCAGCAAACTTCTTTTTGGGTTCAAAGATATAGGTCCACACCAACTGTGAAAGACAGCTTTAAGACAACGATGGAAATTTGAATATGGATTCTGTTTTAGATTACGGTAAGGAATTATTGTTAATTTTATTAGCTGTGATGATGGCATGGTGATTATTTTTAAATGCTTCCTTATTCATTAGAGATTCAAACTGAAGTAGTTTAGGGTGAAATGCAATGATATTTGGGATTTATCTTAAAACACTTCAGGAAAAATATTTTTTTAATAAAAACATATATATGTGTGAGTATAGATAAATAAGATCAGCAAAATGGTGA